TTTGGTTGGCACCAAGGGAGCAGGAGCACAGAGTAAGGCCGAGAACCCAGGGGAGGAAAGGGGAACCCCTCCGCCACCACGGCGGGCACCAGGCTGGAGTCGGCAGAGACCTGGCCTCCGGCAACCACCAGGGCCCTGGGGAAGGAGGCACAGCACACCGCAGGGACGGAATCGCTCCCCTCCTCCTTGGCCACGTCTGCCCGTACTGGGGCCTCCACCCAGCCCTGCCCCGGGGCTGACAGGCGGAGGCTGAGCTCAGCCACTGGCAGGCTGGGCGACCTCTCTGAGCCTCTGGCCCTGGCTTTCCCGTCTGTATTGTGGGAGGGTTTGAACACCACTGGATGGTCTCCAAGGGCCTGTTGGGCACTCAGCTTCTAAAACCCATTAAAACCATCTGCTCTGTCCCTACCCCTGGGAGAAAAGCAGAGATGGGGCAGCTCAGGGGGGAGGGAAGGAGAACCCCACAGTCCTCACCTGGTCGGAGGGCAAGAGCCTCTGCAGTCCTAGGGCTAATGGCTGGGAGCCCTGAGCCTGCCACTGACTGAACAGTCACAGTGAGGGTGAAAGCTACAGGAAGGCCTGTGACGCCCTGCAGCTGCCCCTGCCCAGCTGCCTCCACCATCTCTGACAGGGACCAAGGCACAGGGAGTCACGCCTGGACGACTCACAGCGATGATCCCAAACCTGACTCGGACTAAAACTCAGGGTGTAAAGGCCCACAGTGACTCCTCCCCATCATGCGCAAGGCCTCACGTGGCCTTGGAGCGAGACCAGGGCTTCCCTGGGCTCTTTCTCGCCCCACCCCCAAGTGCAGGCGTGCCTGTGAAGCCGCCCTGGCTCAGGCCCCTCTGCCCCTCCTGAGGGCTGGCAAACTCCTTCTTATCTCAGCTCAGGGGGCCTCTCCTCTCAGCAACCCTCTCTGCCTGCGTCAGGGTCTTGGGTCCCAGCACTGGCCACTGCACAGTGGCTTCCCAGACACAGCAATGCCTGAGCAGCGCTCAGGACTCAGGGAGGTCTGGAGCACAAAGAGGAGAGGAGGGGGCTCTAGGTGAAGGAACGGCACAGGGAAAGCCTGGTGGCAGGGGCCGGTGAGCAGGGCCTCTACCAGGGCTAAGACTGCCCCAGGCTCCAAGATGAAGTTAAGCCCCACGTGGGTTCGATCTGGCGGGGGAGGGGTGTGCTGCCCACAGGATCCCTCTGGCCCTCTGGGGGCTCCGGGGCAGCAGAGCAGCCTCCACGCAGCTCCCTACCTGGGCTGTTTCCCCCAACTACACTAAACCCAAAACAACAAGACAAATCCCAAACACTGGGGCTGGAGGTGGGGTGACAGGGCTAATTCTGGGGCTTCCCATTTTCCAAAGCTTGAAAAGCCTGGAGAAATGTAGGACCAGCCAGGCCCAGGCCCCTCCCCGCCAGCTGCCAGCACAGCCTTCTGCACTTGGCTGTTGAGGAGAGGCCACAGATTTAGAGCATTTCTGGTTGTGTGGATCGGGAGATCTGGGTTGCCACCCCCGGCCCTGAGCGTGTCACTCCACTTCTCTGAGCTTCAGAGAAGCCCCACACTTGAACCACAGCGAAGGTGTGCAGATGCAGGACGAGAGGACGTCTGTGAGGTCTGTCACTGAGGCAGCTGCCAGTGGGGAAGAGGCTGGGAGAGGAGGGGCTGGGAGGGAGGCCCGAGAGGCAGAGAGGGAAGGTGGGCCAGCACCCCGTCCTCTTATCACACACAGCACTGAAGCTGCTCAGTGGGCCGGCTGGGGCTCAGCAGGAGCCCTCAAAGAATCAATCATGCCATAATTAGGGTCATTATTAATCTCTTTCCAGGAGGTCCCAGAGCCTCCTGTTTACACAACACTTCTGTCCCCAGGGACCTCTGAGTGCTCTCCCTGGGGGGCAGGCCAAGGCTGAGGCCATGGCAGGCGTGGGCAGGCCCCAGTCACAGGTTCTCAAGTTCTCCTGCCCCCCCCCCTCCTCCCGCACGGAGTGCTCCCTGCTTGTTTCTGGAAGCTGTGGCCTCTGGTACCATCTGTCTCGCTTCCAAGGCCCTTGAGCTCATTCAATAAATGTTTAAGAAGCCTCCACTGTGTGCCAGGCACTACTGGGAGCCAAGAAAGATTCACAGAGACTCAGCCGTGGACCTTCCTTCCAGGGGGGCATCACGGCAGCAGTGGCTACAGTCACAACCAGGTGTGTGTCCAGTGCTTCACTGTTTCCGGAGCCTCCCCAACATGCCGTTTCACTGAAGCATCTCGACAACTCTGCAGGTAAGTACCAGACCCACATTTTAGGGACACAGGTTTGGGAGAGTTTGGGGCTACATGCTGGACAGGAGCCAGGCTCAGGACCCAGCTCAGGGGCTTGGGTTCTCCCGGCACAGACAGGACCTCTCTTTCCCAAGTCAGGGCCACGAGTAGTCACCAGGAGTGCCGGAGAGTGAAGCTGAGCACCTCAGACTCAGAATCTCTAGCTGCAAACTCTCTAAATCGGTCTTGGAATCACCTCATGTAAGACTCATATATCGTGGACCCCTGGAGCAAGCCACAGAACTATCCCTGGATTTCAGATGATTGAAATCATGAAACGTCAGCCCTGGGAAAGACCGGCAGCCGCTCTGGGCAGCCTCGCTCTGCACGCAGAAATCCCCCGCCACCTCCTGGCAGGGGTCGCCCAGCAGAGCGGCCTGCCCAGGTGTGCCTGCCCAGGTGTGCCCGCCCCCTGGAGGACGGAGCGGTTTCTCAAGGCAGGCCTGGGGGGAGCCCTCCCGAGAGGAGTGGCCTGCTCCCACCCAACTTTACCCTCTCCCCACCCCCCAGAAACCAGCTGGCACCCACGGGTTCTTCCTGGAGGAAGCAGAGTGAGCAAATATCCCCAGGGCCTCAGGCTGGGCCTCAAGGGCCAGACGGGGGCCTGGAGAAAGGGAAGACTTTCATCGTCCTGCACAGCTCTGCTCCTCCCGGGATCCCAGCGATCTCCCCAGGGCAGGGAGGCCGCCCAGGGAGAGCAGGAGAAGGTGGAGGCCGTGTCTGGCAGAGACTTGCACTGAGCAAACTTGTCTCTGACTAGTTTTTGCCCCCTGAGGGAATGGAGAGCAATGATTTCTTTTATTTACTTATGTAAAATAGTAGGGTTATTATACAAACAGGCTTCCCAAACCGGCCCTGGGGTGGGAAGAAAAGCAAGGCATACCATTTAAGGAGTCTTTCCCTAGCTTCCTTCCACTCACACCTCCCTGCCCTGCCTCACCGCCCCCTCCCCTCCTCACACTGCGGTGTTCCAGCACAGCACACTGCCCACCTTCCCACAGCTCGGCCCTTGCTCGCGCCGGGCCCCCTGCCAGGAAAGCCCTCCCCACCACCCCATCCCATCCATCTTAACAAACAGACCCTGTGCAAAGCACAGTCACCAGGCACGGAAGCCCACTGCCTCCGCCCTTCATGCTCACATGTCTGGCTGAGCTCTCGAGACATGATCACAGGCCTCTGTGCACAGTAATTATCTGCTTCCGCGGCTGCCCTGCCCACCGGGCTGAAAGCTTCTCCAGACGGAGACTTCTGATCCACTCAGCCAAGCGTTTTTGAAGAGCCACAGTGTCTGTGGCCCTGAACCCGGAGATGGGGACACGAGATACTCCAGGCCCCTTCCCTGCTAGAGAGGTCACTGTGCTGGGGACCTGTGTCCCTGCACTGTGCCAGCACCAAGGAGGCGCCCATTTATTTGTCACTCAGAGAAGCTGGTTAAATGTGCAAAGGGAGGAAAGAAAGAGCCAATCAGAGTCCCTTAAACCACACAATGGCAGAGCCCTTCTGAGCCTGGTGCCGGTTCTGCCTCTGAGTAATAATTAGCCTTTCCCTATTTACTGTAAAATGAAGTTACTGAAATCAGTCTCAATTGAACATTTTCTCCCACAATTTTTATTTTTTTAAGTTATTTTTAAAATGTATTGATCAGTGAGAAAAGAAGGGAGGGAGAGAAAGAGAGGAACATCAACTTGTTCTACTTGTTTATGCATTCACTGGTTGAATCCTGTATATGCCCTCACTAGGTATCAAACCTGCAGACTTGCCATATCGGGATGATGCTCTAACCAACTAAGCTACACAGCCAGGGCTCCCACAGCTTTTTCTTAAACCTCCGCTATCTGCTCGCGCACTTCTGCTCCCGGTCTGGTGTGAGACGGCCTCGGAGTCAGCACCCTGACTTCCTTGCTGTCCTGTGCATCCCTCCTCCTCAAGGCGTTCTGTGAAGAGGAGCGGCCCCTACTTCCAGGCAAGTCTGAGAACCTGGGGCCCAAACTTTCTACCTCTTTCCAATTTCCAGGTTTCCCTTTAGTAACCAAAGAAAACCGGCCTTGCTTGGATGCGGAGGAAGAAAGTCCCAGGAGCTGGTGGCCAGCATGCTCTGGAGGTTCAGGCCAATTCCATCATTTAAAGCCTCCCATTCCTTAGCTGCTATGGATTCCTTTGGCTGAAGCATCCTTGTTCAAAACACAAATCTCCCCTGAAATGAGAGCCCATGAAACCCACCCAAACTGGAGGGCAAGGTAGCTTATTTTAGTACGTGCTCCAGAGAAGCGGATCATGGTGGGTGGGAATGTGTGCGGAGAGCCAGCCTGCCTGGGTTTGAAACCCAGTTCTGTCGCTTACTCACTGAGCAAAGTCCTTAATGCCTCTATACCTCAGTCTCTTTATTTATAAGGTGGGGATAATAATAGTACCACTCGTGGCACTGTGGGCTGCTGTGAAGATTAAATGGGCCAACACACGTAAGGGGCTTAGGTGCGTACCGGAGTACTGGAGTAAGCAAGAGACAGCTCTGCTCCTAGCTTCAGATTTTTCTTGCCTGTGAAGTAGGACAATAGCCCCCATTTGTCCTGCCGTTTTCTGTAAACCGCAGGGTGCCGCCTCCATGCGAGAGGCAGATGTTTTTGAACCCAGGGGCTGCTCTGTGCCACATGTTTCTAACTCCTTTCTCCCTGCCTCCTCCTCCTCTTTTTTCTTTACCTGGAAGAAGGCACCAGTGGCTGTGAGCTGGACTCCCAGAGGTGTCCTGTCAGGGACTTGGTGATGTCACTTCACTGGGAGAGCTGTGGGGACAAGGGGACAAACCCGGTCAGATCTCTCAGATGTTATCCTGCCTTCTCCCCTTCCACCTGACGCCCACGGAGCTCCTACCCCGTGCCCACCTGGTGCTCAGTGTGGAGCCCGGGGACGGGCCACATCTAGTCCCTGCCCTGGAGAAGTCACTGAGCTGGGGGAGCCAAAGGGACACACATGATCCATTTGTGGGCCATGAGACGCCGCACACACAATCCTCCCTCCACACATGCTAACCACAGACCAGCCTCAACCCAAAACCAAGTACAACCTGCTCCCCGAACCATGCTTTCTCCCCTACCCCAGACCCCAGACCCCAGACCCCAGACCCCAGACCCCAGGACCCAGCCAGCCTAGGACGAAACCCAGGGTTGTGCCCAGCTGCTGGGGTGGGGGGCAGAGGCTCTTCCCTGCTGCCCAGGGACCTGCTTCTCCAGAGGCAGCTGCCAAAGCAGCCACAGAGGGAGGGCTGGTGGGCTGGAGGCGGGATCTGGGGCACCGCAATTATGTGGCTTACTTCTGACTCATGCACCACCTCCCCCATCACCAGCTCTTGCAGCCCGCTGGACAGCCCTTCTGCCCAGGAACTGCGAGGAGAGATGGGTCATGGACCAAGGAGAGAGGAGAAAAGGGAAGGAGGTTCTGGGCCAGACTGCAGAGGATGCTGCTACACTGCCTTTTAAAAGACACAGGCTGGCAGGCCCAGCAGCCTGCCTAGGTCACCCAGAGTGTCAGAGACAGGGCAAGAGCTGGGACCCAGGTTTCCTGGTGCTTTGCAGGCTTCAGGGAGGTGGTGGCTCAGGCCTGTACCCAGCATGAGAATTCTCTTCAATCCAATTAGGCCCCAGAGCCACACACCGGCAAGAAATACACAGGCAAGACTCTCCCCTGGATGGGAAGGGGGCCGAGCAGGGTTCAGAGGCAGCTTGGAAATGACATCCAGCTACTGAAGATGCCTGTGGCACTCCCAGCCGTGCCTCTCTCCACCTCCACTCCCCAGGTTTCTCATGATGCCCTGAGTGTACCGTTCAGTAACAGTATTTACTGTTACTGTGCTTTACAGTTTATAAAACATACTTATTTCCTTCATCTCCCACAGTGGCCCTAAGACCTGAGTGACAAAGGGAATACATTCTACACAGCAGGGCTTCTCAGGCTTTAACGTGCAAGCAAATCACCTGGAGATCTCGTTCAAATGCAGTCGGGTGCAGCAGGTCGACGCTGGGGTCTGACACTCCACATTTCTGACAAGCTCCTGAGTGATGCTGGTGCTGCTGGTCCAGGGACCACACTTTAAGTAGCAAGACCATCCTTGTTAACAGCGTGGGTGCTGGGGGCAGACTGTGTAAGTCAGAATCTTGGCTGTTACCGTATGGCCTTAGTCTAGTTACCGATCCTCTCTGTGCCTCAATCTCCTTAGGCATCCATAAAGAACTCACACAACTCCACTCCAGGAAGACAAACGACCCAATTAAAAAATGGGCAAAGGACCTGAACAGACACTTGTCTAAGGAGGACATACAGAGGACCCAGAGACATGTGAAAAGATGCTCAACATCACTAGCCATCAGAGAGACGCAAATTAAAACCACAATGAGATGCCACTTCACACCAGTCAGAATGGCCATCACAAACAAATCAACAAACAACAAGTGTTGGAGAAGTTGTGGAGAAAAGGGAACCCTAGTGCACTGTTGGTGGGACTGCAGACTCGTAGAGCCACTGCGCAAAACAGCATGGAATTTCCTCAGAAAACTAGAAATGGAACTGCCTTTTGACCTGGTAATTCCACTGCTAGGATTGTAGCCTAAGAATCTTGAAAGACCAATTCAAAAGAACATGTGCACCCCAATGGTCATAGCAGCACAATTCACAATAGCCAAGTGCTGGAAGCAACCTAAGTGCCCATCAGTAAACGAGTAGATCAAAAAAACAAACGAACTGCGGTACATTTACACAATGGCATTCTATGCAGCAGACAGAAAGGAGCTCCTGCCCTTCACAACAGCATGGATGGGACTGGAGAGCATTATGCCTAGCGAAATAAGCCAAACAATGAAAGAGAAATACCCTATGATCTTACCTATAAGTGGAACCTAATCAACAAAACAAGCAAGCAAAATATAATCAGAAACACTGAAATAAAGAACAGACTGACAGTAACTAGAGAGAAAGGTGGGAAAAGGATAATAGGGGATAATGGGGGGGGACCATCAAGGAACATGTATGACGGAAGCACGGACAAAGCCAAAGGGGGTGGATTTGAGGGTGGGAGGCAGCAATGGGTGGGGGATGGGGGGGTGAAAATGGAGACAAATGTACTTGAACAATAATTTTTAAATCTCCTTACGTATAAAGTAATAATACCTACCACCATGTGATATGAGGATTAAAGTATGTACAATGACTAAAGTGATTATTACTTCAGTGTGTTAAATGGAGCCTCTGAGAGGCAGACACAGGCAGCAAAGGCGGCAAAGTCAGAATTCAAACCCAGTTCTCCTACTGTAAACCCTGTGATACCAAGCTGCCACAAAAGGCCATAGCCAGCAAACACCCCTCGCACCCCCGCACCCCCTCCATCAGACAGACATGGGTACTGAAGTGTGGAGAGGGGCAGAGGACTGATAGGCCACCAAAAGCTGGTGTCAAATCCAAGTCCATGACTCCTGGCCTGGTGTGGTATCGCCCTTCCCTGTCCTGCAAGGACGTCACCAATTCGCCCTGAGGCGTCCCAGCTCTGCTGTCAGCCCCCACCTGGAAGCCTGGAGAGGGAGGCTGCCCCCACGCCGCGTGGGCTGAGTTCCCAGCTCTGTGGGAGTCCTGCCCACCAGGCTGGGTAAGGAGGACAGGCTAGCATCACCCTTCCAGCTCCAAGTCCTACCTGCAGTCTGTGGCACTGCTCAGTGTCAGGGTCACCCTGTTGGGGTCTCAGGCAGAGGGTGGCACAGCCCGGGCCTGCCTCCACTCCCCCTTGGCTTCCCCACACGGGGCCAGTAGGAGCCTGAGTCACTTGAAGGAAGTGCTCAGCCTCAAACAGGAAGTGGCTCTTGGAGCAGAAACCCCCTGTAGGATCTCCCCAGGGCCCTGGGCTGGGGGCCTGGGCAGCCTCGAGTGAGGGAGGAAAGCCAACTGGGATGTAACAACCCCCATTCAGATTCTACCTGGAACTCACACTCGGCACCCATTCTCCGCACTGTGAAACCTCGCCGGGGGCTTCCCTGCTGTGCAATCTTAGGTGCATCAGTAGCCTTCTCTGAGCCCCAGTCCCTTCAGTTGTGGGGTCATGGAGCTGCACTACAGGACTATTAGGACCTGGTATTCTATGATGAAAAGAAAAACTGGAGGAAGTGAACATGGGTTTTAAATAAATGAACAAATGCATGTATGAATGGAAAGTATGAGTGAATACAGATGTCTAGATTTGAACACCGGCTGCTGGGACGGGCTCCGGCCATCCTTGACCCTGAACTGGAATTAAGTGGGTTGAACATTCATTATTTTACTTGTTTTTATTCATCTTTCTCAAATGCATGTGTGGCTTCCATTTAATTCAATGTTTAACACGAGATGTGTTTTGGGTCCCTATTGGCAAGTTTCGTGATGTTTCTGTGACCAGAAAGATGCCGTAGGAACTTACCCCTTGTTTATCTCAACTGTGGTAAAAGTGGCTTTAATATTTCATTTCACTTAAAGCGGCGGTTTCCAAGAACCCGTGAACAGCATTGAGGACTTGACCTTTTCCATTTCCCAGTCATGCTGAGCATCCTTTATTGACTGACTGACTGGCTGACTGACTGACTGGTGGGGCAGGGAGCGCTCCCCCCCACCCTCATCTGCGGTTCTAAACGCACTCGAGTCAGTGCGGTCACTCACAGCAAATGCGTGTAGCGGCTGAGCGGGGCCTCCAGGCACAGCAGTCCCTCCTCAGCTGTTGTTTCACCTTCTGTGGTGTTTCGTTACCTATGGTCAACCGTGGTCCACAATTATTAAAGAAAGAGTTCCAGCAGTAAATAATTCTTGAGGGTTTTTAAAAAGATTTTATTTATCTATTTTTAGAGAAAGGGGAAGGGAAAGAGAAGGAGAAGGAGAGAAACATCAATGTGTGGTTGCCTCTCGCATGCCCCCCACTAGGGACCTGGCCTGCAACCCAGGCATGTGCCCCAGCTGGGAACTGAACTAGCGACCCTTTGCTTCGCAGTCTGGTGCTCAATCCACTGAGCCACATCAGCCAGGGCCAATTCTTATGTTTTAAACTGAAGTCCATTCTGAGTAGTACGGTGAGATCCGGCACCATCCTGCCCCATCTGGCCCTGGACGTCAATCGTCCCTTTGTGCATGCTTTGTTCACACTGTGTACACTGCTCCCTAGCCTCAGTTGCCCGGTAGCCGTCTAGTTATTGATCAACTATTACAGTATCAAAGTGCTTCTGCTACAGTAGCCCTTATTTTACTTAATAATGGCCTCAGTGCAAGAACAGTGATGCTGGGAATTCAGATTTGCCAAAGAGAAGCCAGCAGGTGCTCCTTTAAGTGAAAAGGTGAAAGTTCTCAACTTAATAAAAAAAAGGAAACAAATTATGCTTTATGCTAGCTCGCGGAGAGAGAGACCACATTCACATAACTTTAAGTACAATATATTGTTACAACTGTTCTATTTCATTATTGGCTATTGTTATCCATCTCTTAGTGTGCTTAATTTGTAAATTAAACCCCATCACAGGTATGTATGTATAAGAAAACACACAGTAAACACGGTTGACCCTGAACTTGGGATGTGAAAAACATCTCGTGAGTATAAGTGGACCCACACAGTTCAGATCTACGCTGTTCCAGGGCCACCTGTATCTCCCACCTGCAGGAGGGAGCCTGCGTGTGTGGAGGGCCGACTCTAGTTATGCGTGGGTTTGTGTGTGCACGGGGCTGTGCCCCGAATCCTCGAGTCGTTCGCGGTCGGTTGCATGGGGTTGGGAGCTATCTCTGGTGTCAG